TACAATTTTATATTCTCTCTGTTTTTTTTTTTCCTTACACTCCCTCATACTTTACAAAGTTTTCGTAAATTACGTATCTATATGGAAAAAATCAATAAAATTATCCGCAATCAAAAGGTTAAGCTGATGGTTGAAATTTGATATCAATTTATATATTCTATCAAAAACAAATAAATGTGGTACTTGAATAGACTAATTACACAAATATCACTAGGTTGCATGATCCTAGACAAACATAATTGTAAATTTTAGATCACTCACTCGGTTGCATGTTTTTGTGTTATTAAGGCACATCTCATCTCATAACCTGTAAAATTGCAACTTTGCAACTAACAAAGTCATATAAACATGTGATACATAGGAATCCAAAGCGTTACACATAATATTGAACTATATATTTGTATGTATACGTTGCTATTTCCCTAAACTTTTATCTTTGGATTCTCTCTCTCATTGTCTTGTTTTTCAAGCATAGTTTCTCTTTTGTCTTGTGTAACACGGCACCTACCTAATTATATTATATAAATACTAATATAATTACTTTATTTGGTTAATTAATTAGATCATTGATAATTAGTCACCGTTATCTGACGATCGGATCTTCTTCTCTAAATCGTGTTGGCAAAAGAATGATAAGCTATGAAAATCATGTGCATAAACTTCTAAACAATTAAATAAATTTTTTTTTTTTTTATATAGACATCTCCTGAAAATCAAAACAAAAGTAAATGTTTAATATAATAAACTGTGGTACTTATTAATTTATATGATCCGATTTATGTTGAGTAACACACATGTACAACAGCAATATTTGTGTGGTTGCCGCGTTACTCATTCGATTGCAGGCGGGTACTCAAATTTAAAACTTTTAAATTTTAGTTTCATCTAAATTTATAGACGTTTGTTGGCGGGTTAATTAATCTAATAAATAAATATTTTAATTATAGTGGCATCAATGATCATTTTCTATCAGAAATCTATAATGATTTTCATGGTTATGTCCAAGTGCTATAAATATTGATAAAGTAGTACTCGAAATGGGGCTAACTTAATTAAGTCAACATCGAAGATAAGTCATACCACATGAATGCAATTCCGGTAACTTTTAATCGTAAAATTAATTGGGGAATCGATCGATGAAGTAGCCTATCTGATTTATACAAGTACATGTTGTCAATGCTAATTATCTTCTTTCGTTTTTTCAATGTGGGTCAATTAGTCCAAACTTACTACATGTGGGTTTTTCATACCAAATTTTCTTGCTCAATCCTTCCATTTTAATCTCGGCTTCTTGATAGGGTATACACGATATATGCTTGTATTTGGTTTTAACTTTAAGATAAGTTTCTTTTGAGCTAAAATTGACAAACTAACACGTTATCCATGTAACCAACTTTAGGACAAGGTCTATAAGTTTGACAGCATATGCATGTGACAATTGTTTACGAGTATGTACCATTGTATACAAGTATATACCCAAACACGACATTTGTAATGGTGTCTAAGTAACGTAACATATCCTTGCAACTTATTACGGAGTATTAATTATGTCAATGCCAATTCAAAAAACTTTCATTATGTACAAGGTACATCCTGTCTCATCTAATGCTCATCTCCATCTTATATTATCAGTTTGTTACACTGAACTTGTACACGACACAAACTAGCTGGAGAACTTTAATCATACATGATCCAAGACAAAATTATTTACACTTTACACCCCCATACCCATTGCCCATGTACCATAAAACTCATCGTCGTCTAAACCACCACCATGTGTCCATGTGATCGATCGGAATCCGACCGTGATTGATCCCGTGGCGATCGGAAGAACTTAGCCGTTGTACTGTTGCATTGCTGGTGATCTGAATTGATTATTAAACTTTGACATTATATTGCATCATGGTATACATAATTTGCCTGTTTTGGTGACGTAGTTGGTGTCTAGGATTCTTTATAACTTTAATTTGTTAGGCTAGTTAGTTGCCTTTAGATCACGGCATCATTCTTTTTACTTGTTTTTTTCTACTTGCATGATTTATGTCTTTTTTCTTATATAAAGCTTATTAGATTCCTAAGGTAAAATATTATTTACTTTCATTATTGGCGCGCCAATGTTATCCATGGAGAAAAACATCATGTACACTTTTGTGGCTTTGCGCTAAAGATAGGCCTATGACCTATGGATTGAGTTAGATTTGACCTGATAAAAGGATATGTATCTCACAATCATGATATTGTACGAGTAGTCAAGTAGGATTAAATCTAACAAAGGGCTTTTTAGGGGTGCAGATTTTCCATCCTTTCTCTCGACTCCTAAGGGCCTAGTATACTAATTGGACAGGGTGACTCGAGACATTGATCTGAGTCGATTAGACTTTCTCCTTTCCTTAATTTTTTTTTTTTAAAGAGTCTTGCTCAAGGTTGGTCTTTTTACAGCCAATGGTAGAACATTTTTTTGGAAGGAGTGGACCTTGATTCCCTCCAAAAAAAAAAATCATAAAGATATTCTATCTTTTTAAAAGATTGATAAGGATACAAATCTAAAATCACAAGTATGTATTATAATCAAGATGTCAACGGTTCAACCTCAACTCTAAATAATGAAACTATATATACTACCAAGATTATTATTTGTGTTTGTTACATATATTTTATTTTCTTAAAGAACAAAAAATTCATCATTAATTAATCAACATACTGTATATATAATAAATATTATTAAACCTAACTAAAATGTAATTTAAAACATAAAATTCAAACCAGATTGTTTCGATTATTTACTCTAATTTGAACAATTGTTATGGGACTTGTTAAACATCGCCCGCGTTTTTCTACATAAAGCCCACATTTTTTAAAAATGTTGACATTATTGCCCTTGTTTTAATTTTTACCGAAAATAAAATTTTTCACTCATAAAAAATGTGGAGCAGGACTGGATCGCCGAGTGAAACCGAAGAGCCCTCAACGTCGGCTAGATGCACCGGAGAGACGCCGTTGACGCCGGAAAAGGAGGTACGAAGCCATCTAAAACCACGAATTGGCGGCTGGCGTCCTGCCGGGACGCCGTGACCGTAGTGGTGGCGCCTAGCCAGGACGCCGTCACCGTGGCGGTGGCGCCTGGCCAGGACGCCGCCACCGTGGCCGTGGCGTCTGGCCAAGACGCCGCCGCCACGGTGGCGGCGTCCTGGCCAGGCGCCACCGCCACGGTGGCGGCGTCCTGGCCAGGCGCCACCACCACGGTGGCGGCGTCCTGGCCAGGCGCCACCGCCACGGTGGCGGCGTCCTGGCTAGGCGCCACCACTATTTTTTTTTTTTTTTTTTAATTTAATTTAAAATTTGTTTATTTTTTGATTTTTTTTGTGTTACAATTTTTTTCTTTTTTTTTTGGTTTTTTTTTGTTTTGTTTTTAATTGTTTTAATTTGTTTTTGTTTTTAATTTGTTTATTTTTTATTTTTTTTTTTTACAATTTTTTTCGTTTTATGTTTTTTTTTTGTTTTTATTTTTTTGGTTTATTTTTATTTATTTAATCTAAAGTTTTGTTTATGTTTTTTATTTTTGTGTTTTGTTTTTTTTTTTTTTTGAATACTTTTTGTTTATTTCTTTGTTTGTTGTTTATAATTTATTATTGTTTTTGCTTTTGTGCTAATGTTGTGTCAAATGTATTAATTTAATCTACTCTTATGTGATTATATTTATATGTTATTGTTGCAGGATTATGGTGGAGACGGAAATGATTATAGTGGGATTTTTGTACACGATGGTCTGTTCGAAGATGCTCAACAAGCGGTTGATTGGGCGAAACAGGTTGCAATTAGATCAGGTTTTTGTTTAGTAGTAGCAACTCATAAATCTCAACGGGATGGTAGAATGGATCGCATTTTGAGATGCGACCGTTATCGCAAAAGGGAGGAACGAGATTTCAGTCAAGCGATTCGGTGTGATACAAAGCGGAAAGGTTGTGGGTGTCAGTTCAGAGTAAAGGTTCGACAACAGCAAAGGGGTGACGGTTGGGAAGTGAAGAGTTACGGTAAATGGGGGTATCACAACCATGAGATGATCGCATATGAAGTGGGTCATCGACAGTTAAGTGGCCTAAGTCCTGCTGCGAAACTAATTGTAAAAGAAATGAGTGATGCTCAAGTGAAGCCTGCTAAAATATTAGCATCTGTGTTGGAGAAATTTCCTGAAGACCAGCCAAACCGAAGACACATCTACAACGTCAGACATAAATTGAGGTTTGAACGGTCAGAGGGAAGGAACCCTATACAGCAGCTTCTACACCAGGCACAAGCACGTGGTTACCTGTACTGGTTTGAATCTGATGAAGACACATCGGAGGTGACTCATTTGTTCCTTGTGCATCCTGATTGTGCTGATATGATTTCGTCTTGGCCATCTGTGATTCTGATCGATTCAACGTACAAGACAAACAAGTATAAGTTTCCACTGGTTGAGATGGTTGGGATGACTCCAACGAACCAGAACTTTTTGATTGGTTATGCAGTTATGAAGGATGAGACGGTTGCGAGTTACCGTTGGGTGTTGGAGAAGTTGAGAAATTACATCGGCCCAAGTGTTCAGCCATCGGCCATCGTCAGCGATTGTGAGGGAGGTCTCTTTGCCCCTATAGCGGAGCCGTTGCAAACATCTACAAGTGTGCAGTGATGCATTTCGGCCTTGGTTTGCATGCTCGAGCTTACTATCCGTGTACCACGGTTCTGCCTTGGTGTTCGCGTGAGACCGTCACCAGACCGGTAAGAGAGGTTGCTATTGGATTTCTGGGGCCGTCATACAGACATTTCATCCGACTGGACCTGTCACCCGATTTTCCGGTCCCACCGATTATACCAACGTGGTACACCATTCGTACAGCAAGCGTAGAGGGCTGGGATGCGTTATATCATGACCGGGTGCAGCAGTGGAACAATCTAGTTGCCTTTTCTATGTGACCTAATATTGCTATTGCTATGTTTTTCCCATTTATTTAATTTTCGGATTCTAATTTTCGTATTTAGTTTTCCCATTTAAATGTGAACCTGTATTTAGTTTTCGTATGCCCACTAATTACAACTTAAAATAAAAGTTATAAAAACTAAAAATATAATGTCAAATTCTAAGAACTTAAAATAATAATTATAAGAACAGATAATGTTAACTTTTACAAACAACTAGGAAAATGTTTTATAAAAGCACTGCCGACATATCAATAATCTCTCTGTGACGCCCACTGCCACTGCTCAAGGGCCCGTTCCAGTTCATCAATAACAGCTCTGCCTGTTGCAGTCGTCATGTTGTCCCTCTCCTCAAAAAGTCTGTGTCCCAACTGCGTCATCTTTCCCATCCACTACACATAACAAAACACATAAAATTCAATAACGACGTATTATGAGACGTATTATATGGAAAAAAACACAACTACAAATGTCTTATGAGACGTACCGCATCCACGGCAGTGGGCGGTGGCACATACTCGTATATCCACGTCTGTAACAACGTCATACATCCAGTGATACCTGCCGCATCAGCCCGGCTCGAGAATCCTAACTGGCGATACATGTACGCTAATGTAGCCGACCCCCAAGAAAACTGGCCTACTCTGTCGGGCTCACACGCGTCAACTATGTCGCGTGGCCTGAGCTTGTTTCCGCTCTTATCCGGAAACAAGGTACACCCGAGAAGAAGAAAAACATATGCAGCCAGCTGTGTGTCCTGCGTCCTACGTGAAGTGGGGTGCAAACATCGCTGCAAAACTGCTGCGATCTTAACACCGCCGTGATCCCACACACCAAGTGCCGCTGTGTACAGCGCAGCCCTATCCACCGCCAACAGCTCCGCCAATAAATCTGCCTGATCCGCATCTGTGACAACAGATGCTCGGTTTCCCTCTACGGGAATCCCAAGGATGGCCTCGACGTCATGCAACATGATCGTCATCTCACCGAACGGAAGGTGGAAAGAGTTCGTGTCCGGCTGCCATCGCTCAACGAAAGCCGTGATCAGCGTCGAGTCAATCCTCTCATGCATGGTGGCAGGAAGGTGGCTCACTCTAGTGGCCCTCAATCGGCCGACCATCTCGCTCTCCTCCGGCCAAGCCTCAGCCCAACTACACAAGAAGTTACAAGTCCTCTCCCGGGTTTGGCATTTCAAAATGCCGCTATCCAAAGCCCGCTCTTGGTCCTCCCAAATACGGGTAGCGATGTGTCCTAGAAAGCTAGGAATCACACTCCCGTCTATAGGTCCCCCAGCCACCTCGCCCCTCACCACCCAAGAATCATTAACGGCCCTCGACCGTTTTCTGCTAACCGCAGACACAGTGGACGCAGATGATGTGCCAGATCTACTAACAAATCTACCATCTCTACCCTTACGCACGTCTACCCTACGCGTCTCATACACATCATCAAGCCTCTGACTGAATGGACCGTAATCATCATATGGTCCACTCTGATCGTCCACATCCTCATCTGCATCCTCCTCCTCCTCCTCCTCATCACCATCATCATCTTCATCATCCTCAGAATAGTGCACCCGTTCTCTACGAGCCGAGGCCGAAATACCACGGGATCTAACGTGTCTGGGCCCCGAGCTCTCCATTGAGTTCATCGTACTTCTCATAATGTCCATACTCTTCCCAGCCCCAGAACGAAAATACGATGCCTAACACAAAATAACAAAACATGTAATATGCAATATAAACATGTAATATAAACATAAAAAAAGTAATTAAAATAAATAAATAAAACAATATACATATGATGGAAAATAAATTAAAAACATTACAAAATATTAACAACCTAAAAATAAAAAAATTAATAACCTAATAAATAAATAAATAAAAAATTGGAAAAAACAAAGAAAAAAAAAAAAATTACCCAAAAAAAACAAATTGGAAAAAACAAAGTGAAAAATATAAAATTATAAAAACTTAAAAAAAGAAGAACATCAAAATTTTAAAAAAAATTTATAAAAAAAAAAAGGGAACATAAAATTTTTTTTAAGTAAAAAAACTAATTCAAAAAAAAAAAAAAACAAAAACAATAAACAAGAACATAAAATTAAAAATTAAAAAAAAAAAAAGAGGAACATAAAATTTAAAATTAAAAAAAAGAAAAACAAATTTAAAAAAAAATCAAAAAAAAATTAATTATTTTCGAAAATTAAATTTCAAATTTAAAACCAAAAAAAAAAAAAAAAAAAAAAATAAAAAGGCGGCGGCGCCTAGGCCAGACGCCGTAACGGTGGCGGCGGCGTCTAGCCCAGACGCCACCACCACGGCGGCGGCGCCTAGGCCAGACGCCGGTGCCGTGGTTCTGGCGCCTGGGCCAGACGCCACCGCCACCGTCACGGCGTCTGGCCTAGGCGCCGCCGCCGTGGTGGTGGCTTCTGGCCTAGGCGCCTCCGCCGTGGTGGTGGCGTCTGGCCTAGGCGCCGCCACCGCCTCCGACCTTTTTTTTTTAATTTTTAAACACAAAATTAATAAAAAATACCTTCTCGCCGGAAAACCGCTGTCCACCCGCCGCCTGTGCCGCCACTTCCTTGCCGGGCCGCCTCGACATCGCTCGGAAAGTTTTTTAGAGAGAGAAAGTGGAAGTAGAGAATAGAGAGAAGAAATTGTGTTTTTTACTTTGAGGGCAAAAGTGACATTTCACTCTAATTTTGTGGGCTTTATGTGGAGATTCGCGGGCGATGTTTAGCAATTCAGATTGTTATTAGTCCATAGATATAATATCATTATCATTCGACTATAAATGTCATCTTTAAAAAATTTAGTCCATAGGTGTAACAATTTATCGTTCAACACTAGCTTTATATGTGGTCAGCCACCATATTCGCTTAGTGTTACAGCGGCTACACAGTGTTGCCAGCTGCACAGAAAACACAATGATGATCATCCAAATAATGTTTGTTTCTTATAAAAATAATTTTCAATTCTTTATTAGCAAGTACGTACTAAATATAATTAATTGCAAAGTTGTTGATTCACAAAATATTTAATTCCAAAATTCATGAAAAAAAAGAGGGAATCCTAACAAAATTTCAACTTTCCCGCGAAATGTTGGTAAACTGCTAATATTTTAAATAATTTTCTTGTCATCAGCTACTATGCACGTGTTTCCTAAGCTTTATTTCATAGAATCTTAAGATTTTTAGCAAATTGTTTCTTTGTTATATAGAACTATAGAAGTATCCCTTTCCACTATTAGTCGTAAATTAAAATTTTATTAATCAATTTGTTAATATTATCCCTTGTATTTCCTTTATAAGTGGCACACTGGCACCATGTCCATTATTTTCATCATTTAACATGCCTCCTCGTAGACTTACTATATGCTCATTTGGATCTTACCTTCAATTATACTCAATGAATGAAGTTATGACTTCTACCATAAGCCTCAAATTTATTGATCATGGTAGGGTAAAAGGGTCATATTCCTACTTGTAAAGTTGTATTATAATACTAATTACGTCTAGATGTGACAAAACTGACCCGACCTGAATTATCAGATTTGAACCTGAGTTGTACTAAAAATTGGATTACCCAAACTGAATTATTGGCTGGCTTGTATCTGAGATTGGATAGTCGAAATCAAACCTATTCCGAAATAAACCAAACCTGAATTGACCCGACCAAAATCAAATTTAGTTGAAATGAATTAGTCTCCATTGATAAATTACTTTTCAATAGACTAGCCAAGTCATTACTAGCTAGTCTACAACTTTATTTATATAGTGACTTCTTTTTACTTAATCTAGCCGAATCTAATAGCTATAACCAGATTAACCTCGTAAAAAAAAGTATTAAAGGTCAATCAAATTAATGTTTCATTTTTATCAAATCGTAACTTTTTGTGGTGGTTCTTACTTTCATGACTAGCTAAGTCATTTTGATTTAGTCCATTAAAGTTGAAAAAAAAAAAAAAAGGAATCTTTGGTTTCTTATTGGAAAATTGAAACATAAAATCATTTCGGATTGCATATGCATGCCTAATATATAATCTTGTTTTCCTAGATTTTCTTCACTGATTATGAGAAATAACCCTTTTTCGTTCTAGACTTATCAAATGCATTTTCTTACTTTACCTTAGCTCATAAATATTGGATGGCCTACAAATTGAATCATATCTCAACAATACAATTAGTAAAGCATATGCTAGTAGGCTATGTTGAAATATTTAAGTGTAGTTGGCAGGTTAATTATGATTGATCTATATATAAATTAGCATCGCATCATTTTAAGAAGCACAAGCCTATGCATCAAGTTCGTGCTTTGGTATGGCTCGCGTACTTATTAGGAATACACTGAAGAATTTGATTTGAGCAATATATACTCAAATCAATGATGCCTGAAATGTGCAACTACAATTTATTTGCGTAATACTGTATAAGCCTTTACAAAGTAGTGGCGACTCATTGTATATCAACCCAATTAACAGTTAGCTAACTAGCCAAACTCAAGCCAACTAAATAGAATAACTCGGCACGTTAATCTATTGTTCCTTGTAAATATCTCTCCAATGATACTTCTAATTAATGAACCTCAAATCATCTAAGCTCATAGAATTATGTGTTAAGGAATTCTTAAATCTATACATAACATTCATGAAATTCAAGAAAATGATGATCATTATATAGTTTGTAATCTTGAACTTGATGCTTGCATTGACAAATTGTTAGTTTCTGACCTAACAGTACTACCACCAACTAAACCCAATTCCATGACAAATGAATTACTATAAGTAGTTTATAATTACAGTTTTAAACTTTTAATAGTACCAAGACAGCAAAGCAAACATTTATGCCGACAAATTAAACTTATGTATATATGCTTCTTCGACATGCTCGCATTGTTGGTCTGAGTCAAGCTTTTGAGGATGCGTTGAGCATGTTCAATCGAACGGTGGATTCTGACATTTTGAGTAATCCTACTGAGGTCGCTGCCCCTAAATTCATGAAGAAATTGGCAGATATATATTTCACAAAGGTTACCGATTCTGCAGAATCCACCTTCTCTTTATCTCCTCGTCAATCAGCATTGTGGAAATCGCAGCAGGGAGATCACACCTCTGCTTGGCTTCGGGCGGTTCCTATTTCAGGGCTGGGTCAGACGATGAACGCAAAGACTTACCGGTGTGTGTTGTGCTACCGCTTGGGTATTCCATTGTTCTCTGTCTCGAGGCCGTGCTCTGCTTGTTCAAGGGTTTTTACTGGGGATTTTTTCGGTGATCACGCGGTGTCGTGTGCTGGTATAGTGGGTATTAAACATCGGCATAATGTTGTGCGGGATATACCCTTATTGATGTTTGTTATCGATCTGGGATTTCAGCTAGAAAGGAGGTTGACATTGGGTTGTCTAGAGGGAACGACGGGGCCCTCAGACCTGCAGATGTGTTACTTTATTCTTGGGATCGTGGTCGCGATGTCTGTGTTGACTTGACAAGGTCTTCTCCTTTGACACAGTCTGGGTTATCTGGCTTTGTTCCTGGATGGGTTGTGGCTGATGCAGCTCATCGGAAGCGGGTCAAGTACGAATCTAGTTGTCGGGCAATTGGATATGGCTTCCTTCCTTTCTCTTTCTCTACACTTGGGGAATTAGAGAAGGAGGCGGTTGCATTGCTGAAGCGGATCCAGAAGTCCTCGAAGACTCAAGACATTGGGGCACGTGCTGCTGCTCATATCTTCACTAGAATAGGTTTTGCTATAGCTAGAGGAGTGGGGGCCCAGATTGTATCTCGGCTTCCCACTAATTTTTTGTAGGTTGTATGACTTTGTCATTTTTGAGATAATAATAATAATAATAATAATAATAATAATAATAATAATAATAATAATAATAATAATAATAATAATAATAATAATGGACCTTCATTTTTCATTTTTTTTTTTTTTTTTTGATGCAAAGCCAGGGCCAGGAAAATAGATTAAAAGTTCAAAAGTACAAAAGAGTTAAGGAGATTTATCCTCCCAAATTACATCCCGAATAAAGTCAAGTGGATCATACAACAATACAAGTAATACATCCTGATTCGGAAACTTCCTACAATGCTTATCTAGTAAGTCAGCTGCCCTGTTAGCATTCCTACCTTCAAAATAAAGCCTAGCCTCATGCAATCTCTCTAGTCGGTCCCTGCAAGATTTTAGAATTGTCGAATTAACATCTTTAACAGTCATGGCACCATGGATGAGCTCGAACACTTGCTTCGAATCTGAACACACTTCAATCTTTGACCAGCCCTTGTCAAGAGCTAATTGCAACCTTGTAGAAATATCAAGCAATTCTCCCATACTAACATATTTTACTCTACACTTTTGCTGAAACCCAAACACCCAAGAACCTGAAAAGTCGCGAATAACACAAGCCACACCAGCCCAAGCCCCATCTGAGAAGAAGGATACATCACAATTAAGCTTGAGATAAGGTTGGACATGCGGTTTCCAGCAAGAAACGGAGGGGATGGTAGTAGAAATACCCAAAGCGATCTTCAGTGAGGTGTGATATTCCCAAGCTAGAGCTTGGGCTTATCTGAGGGACGAGTCTAAGGGTTGGTTAGATTGGTTGAAGATACTATCATTACACTTCCAGATTACAAAAGAGAAAAGGGTTTTCCAAGGTAGATGAATCTCAGGGGAAGGGGGAGGTTTGAAAGAGAGATTGGTAAGTTACCAGTCTTGGAAATTTTGAGAAAAGAAAGAATCAGGCATGTGGAGAAAATTCCAGACCTCTTTAGCTTGCTCACAATCTCTGAGAATATGAAGTGAATTCTCAAGGAAGTTGTGACAGTAAGCACAAGTATCCAAATTGGTGATGTTCCTCTTAAACAAGGTAACCTTGTGAGGAAGTCTATCCAAGTAACAAAGCCACACAAAATTTTTTATCTTAGGGGCTGTTTTAAGGCTCCAAATCCAATCAAGTTCATGATCACCTCATTATTATTAATTTTATTATTACAAAAGATATTAACAGATTGCTTGAAATAAAATTTTCCATTCAAAGTAAGAGTTGAAAAAATAAAGTCATGACAATCTTGATCAGCCATAGAGATAGGGACACTCAGGTAGGCATTAACAATATCCTCGGGAAGCTCAAAAGAAATATTAGAGAAGTCCCATTGGGAGTTAGCTAAACACTCATCAAGCATGATACTCTCCTCTCCTCTCTATAAGGGGCAGTGAATTAAGCTTCTAAGAGGACCCAGCCCAATCCAATTATCAGACCAAGTAAAGATATCCACCCCATTCCCAACACCCCACTGAATATGGGATTTGAACAACTCCCACACCTTACCCATGCTTCTCCAAAGGTGGGAACTAGAAGAAAAGGATCGAAAAAAGTTATTGGGCTTAGAGTACTTATCTTTCAAGATCTGGACAGCCAGATTGCTCTCTTGATTAAGCATTCTCCACCACAATTTCAACATATGGGCTTTATTAAGGGCCTTAAAACATCTGATACCTAGACCTCCCTCACTCTTAGGAGCAGCAATTCTGTCCCAACCAACTAGATGTATACCTCTTGACTCTTTACCCTTCCCCCATAAAAACTTAGCCAAAAAACTATTTAACTGGTTCAAAACCGAAATAGGAAGCATCATGCATTAGAGGTAGTAATTAGGGAGAGTGTTAAGGGTAGGAGAAACTAGGCAAAGTCTAACAGCCTTAGAAAGCATTGAAGACTTACAGAGCTCAAGTTTTTTGAGAATTTTATCATAAATGAATTTGAATTTGTTCTTGGAAGGTCTAATAGCAGAAATAGGGAAACCCAAATAGGGGCTGAGATCATCAGTTTTTCTAAAGCCCATAGCATCACAGAACAAACTTTTGTCACCTTGGGAAGTATTTTTAGAGAAAAGAACCCTACTTTTTTGAACACTAATGGTCTGACCAGAGAATGCACAAAACGTATCGAGTATCTTTGAGAGAGAGGATGTTTTCAATAGAAGTTTCACCAAATAGGATAATGTCATCGGCAAAAAGGAGATAAGAGATGGGAACTTGTTTCCTTCCCATACAAAAAGGAGTCCAAGTCTTACTCTCAACCTATTTATGTATAAGTTGGGAAAGGACCTCCATACAAATGATGAACAAATAGGGAGATAAGGGATCTCCCTGCCGGATGCCCCTAGAAGGCTTAAAGCTATCAGTAGGGATACCATTAACCAGAATAGAAGAGGACACAGATGAAACACAAGACATGATCAACTCAATAGAAGGAGTGTCTAGCCCGGAGAAAGAAAGAGCATTTTTCAGAAAGACCCACTCAATCTTATCATAAGCTTTCTCTAAGTCCAATTTCAGAATAAACCAACCCTTACTACCCTTTTGTTCCAGGGTAGCTCCAGAACCTGGCTGGGAGTCTGGCCTGAACGTCAGTCGAAAGTCACCTGCACAATAACGGTGGTTATGCCCTCGGGGGTGGCTTCGAGGAACCCCCCTCCGATGGTTAAGTTAGTACCTCTTGTTTGTTTTTTTGTTTTTTTTTTTTTTTGACGTGGTTGCGCATCGTGGGTGGTTATCTCCCTTAGTTGGATAGGTAACTGCCATTTAATGTTCGGTATTCAATTCCCTTTCTTTATTTTCCCTTTGTATTTCGCGCTTCTATCATTCCCATTCGTATTTTAACTTTGAAATTTTTCTTTCTCTTTCTTCTCTCATTTACTCTCCTATCATTTCACAGTTATTTATCTTTTGTTCGTTCTTCCAGCTTCTTCTCTCTCATTTCCTTCACTCTAAACTCTGCAATTTTGCTCAGGTGCCACTCGCCGTGAATTTTGCTCTGATTGCCCCCCGTTTGTTGCTCGTTCATCAAAAAGGTACTGTCTTTAACCCATTCCTTCACCATTTTCATACTTCCTTCGCTGAATTTAGTTTATTCTTTCTCAAAGATTGTTCCTTTTTTCCTTATGTGTTGTTAATTTGTTCCTGTACACTTCCTCTTTGTTTAAAGATCGATTTTTGTCCTGTTGTTGTTGTAATTTCTTTGCCCCTGCGCATATTTATACTGTTCATTTTTTAATTTGCTCTTTTGTCGCTCCTTTTTCTTTTTCCTTTCTTCTTGTTTCGTTTCCTTATTGGAAATTCTTGTTCTTTCCATGTTTTCCAAGTTCAGATCTTTTTTCTGGTCATGTCGGACGCTTTTGATAGTCAGAATGATTCCGCCCATTGTTACGGTGATGATGGCGAGTCTGAGTCTACTTCTTCCTCCAAGTCGACTCGCTCAGGTGAGCCATCTAGGCCATCTGATCCTTTTCCTCCTATTTCCTATCCTCCCCTTCAAGTTATATTTCCTCATCCCAGTAATACTTCATCGGGGATTGAGTCTACCGCTGGCGCTTCTGCTTCTTTTGCTGACCTTGCACGTTCCGCCCCTATCTTCGTGGTAGGGTGCGTAGCGACACTTTTGACCCTTATTACGAGAGGGTCTTGATGACCAGGGGGATGCGTTGCCTCACCTGCTGCGTTTGCAGCTGCGGGCCGCCCGTCATACGCGACTGGCAGCGGAGGTTAAAGCTAACCCTTCCTACCGATGCCCCTAAAAGTCCATTTCCTGATGTGTTTCCCTTGCATGAATTTGCTTGGCTAGATGATATATCTGATGTGCACCGTTTTGATCATCATGTAGAGCGCAACTCCTCTTTTGCCGATATTCCAATGGCTGCCCCCAGCCTCTCTCTTCTTGTGATGCTGCTCTGAATGCCTGCCAACCTTGGTATGTGGACGAGGTGGTCCCTCTAGGTGACTTTACCTTTTATTTGGATGATAAAGTTGATGGTCCTCGTCTTTGCATCCTAAGCTCAAACTGGCGGATGCTGGTTGCCCGTCTAAAGTTGGTTGAATGCGATAAAACATTCTATAGGCTGGGAGAGGGCTATGAGTTGGTGCTGCCCAAAGCTGGGTCCAGCCTTGCCTATCCTCCAGCGGGTCACATTGTTGTCTTTGCTTCTCAGCTGGATGTTGGGCTGAGGTTTCCTTTAGATCCAACTTTAGACAAGTTGTTGCGTGCCTTCAATATTCCTCTCTCTGATTTTGCCTGCGTCTTTGCACACTTTGATATGCCTGCTCTGGACAGTGCGCTTCAAACCTTTTCCAGAGTCTCTTTCTTTATTTCACCAACCGTTTAGATTTAAACGGAGTGCTTCTGGTGTTGACTCTAGCTGGTTTTATCTTGCGCCCAAGCCTAAAAGAGTTTTGTCTTACCCTAAGTTGGGTCGCTTTAAGGACTGGCAAGGGATGTTCTTTTGGCTGCGAGTTCCTGCCCATTTTGGCTGCCCCCTGCTCTTGTTGCCACGTCAGGTCGAATATGGGGGGTATTACTCTGCTGGTGGTTGATGCTGCTAAAGAAGCTCGGGCCTTTGATCACTTTGAGGGTGAGTCTTATGCTCCCAAGACGTGGCTTCCTAATGGAATATATGTTATAGGAAATTCTGAGTTTTCTGCCATGCGCCTGTGCTCAACACACGAGTCAGGTAAAATTCTCCCTTTTGATTTGCCATTATCTTTTTTTTTTTCTGCTTTGCTCTCTGTAATACTGCGATTGACTTGCATTTCTCTAATTCACAAGTTATGATAAATTAAGACAAATCGTTGCTGGGCATGGATGATACCTGGAAGCCTTTTGTTAAGACTCCAGGGTATCCTCCCTTCCCCCTTGAAGTGTTAGAGGTTTACGCTGCTGCCCGTTTGGGCAAGACGCGTCCTTCTCCCTGCTGAGTTTAGGTGTAATGCTGCTACTGCTGGTACCTCCGCGCGTTCTACTCCCACTGTTCGAGCAGAGGTTGAGCCTGAAGCTTATACTGCTGGTAGTGAACAAGTTAAGGGGGTTGCTGATTCTCCCCAGAAGTCTAGGTCTTTGGTGGCGCCGAATGCTTCGGCTGCGGCCTCCGGTCGGTGGACAGCCCAGACTGTCAATGTGGATAAGGATAAGGCCTACACTCGTGAAATCACTGATGTTAATGAAACTTCTGACCTTACAGGTCACAGAAACGATGAGTTTGCGCATTTTTTGTTCATTGATGCCTCTTTCGGTGCCCCAGAGGTGGGGGCTCTAAGCCTATGCAAGTTGATGTATCCTCTAGGCAGGAGCCGTAGGGTTCTATTTCTATTGGGCATGTTCTGCCCTCCACTAATGAAGGTCTGCCTCCTCTTTCTAAGAGTTGACCTCTCCCATCCTTTGTTTCTACCGGGCATGTTCTGCCCGAAATTCTTATAGCCGCAGGATTAACTGTTGAACTTCCTACCTCTGCATTTTCTGGTGTTGTGGTGACTCACAGCCCTATTTCTCAACCACGATCATATCGCGATCGTCTGCGCAGCCGTCGCCGGTGGTGGGCTTGCGCCTAATACTTCAGGCAGAGGAGGCCCTACTCCTGTTATTGACTTGGAGCCGGTTTCTCCTCCACGTGAGCCTTCTCCCAAGAGGGATAGAGTCCCTACTGTGGACGAGTTGCTTGCTTCAGCCTCTGGCCATTCTGAGCCAGTTACAGCGCTGAATTTCTTAAGGTGGGGCTGCTCCTGCCTCTAGCGAACTTAATCACTATGTGAGTCAATATTTTGGGGAGACTTACACTAATCCCTTCTCTGTTTCTTCTAATCCGTAGGCGGGGTTTTCGGGTCGGCTGGTCCCTTGGAGTTTTCTGAAGTTCACATTGACGCAGTTCTAAGACCTGCGCCATTGTAACACCCCCAAATCTCCCTCTACGGAATGTGTATAAATACCGCAGAGATAGACTTGGGCGTATTACCGCCGCGTGATAACGCAAGGCTTATACTTTAAAAATACTTTTGCAGCGGAAAATTCTTTATTCTTATTAATAAAACTTTAAATAAACTTGTTCATAATTTCTGACACAAAACAAAGTCAAACTTTTCCTAAGCTAGGTGAAATTCCCGTGGACTCCCGTATGCATCAATTAACTTCCACCTGAAAAGTTCACCTGCTTACCATAAATGGTAAACAGGGCAAAGCCAAAACCAAAGCACGTATTAGCAAATTAAGCTAAGTAGATTATGTGTAAGATAAGTAAAACATAATTTAAATCATTTAAGTTTAATTCATAAGAATTCCAATGCCATACTCATGTAAGAGCTTTTCCAAATCAATGCTTTCAAGACAAGTTTAAAACTCAATTGATTACGTTCCAAAACCAATTCCTCACTAAGTGTGCACACCCCCCAAGTGGTTTACTTTATAATCAAAGGCCAAACTTGAGGAAAGACTAGGTCATGCAAAGTCCATAGTCTTCTCTAAACCATTCCCTAAGTGGGATTCAACATATCGATTGATTTGTTTAAAAACTCGTCTTTAAAAATCCATCACACTTACATAACAACAAACTTGCAAATCATTTCCAATAATTTCCAATCACAATTTAAGGCCCTTTTGATTTAAATCCAAATCATTTAATTCAATCCAACAAAATTTCATAATTTAATACGGAACATAATTTCATAAATTCATAAAACATGATTTCATACGGAATGTAATAAAATATGATTTGATGCGGAACATAATAATTTATAGTTTCATAATAAATCATAGTTTCATACGGAACATAATTTATAGTTTCACAAATATAATTTCATACGGAATAGATTATAATTTCATACGATCATAAAATGTAGTTTCATAATCAACTTTCGAAGGTATCTAACCACATAACGTACCTTAATTCCGAATATCAATCAACACTTCGCACTTTCAAAGTTCAATCACGAATACACCTTGCAATTAACATAACCATACGGTTATCACAACATCTTTAGACATAAACCCAAATCTAATTTGCATGGACTATAAAACACTTTAATATAAAATTATAACTGTGAAATAGGTAATTATATTTTAGAAAATTAACCATGAAGAAAATAAAGGAATAGGATTATAGGAAATTGAATTTGCGTTGGAAAGGATAGGCAGAACTTGCAGAGGTCATAACGCCTTTGATATAACTCCGAATTGGGTGATTCTTGAGCCTAACCTTAAGGATTTTTCAAGAGGAATAATTTTTTGTGAAATAGAAAATTCCAAAAACTGAACAGAAGTGCCCGAAAATTGGCTCCAAAGATATACGGGCAGATTTTCTTTTAGAAAAGAGGAAAACAAAAATAGGAAAAGTTTGAGAGAAAAGAAGAGTAAAAGAAAAGAAGGGAATTGAGTTTTTGGTGTAAAGAATATGAGAGTTATGAGGGGGTATTTATAGGTGTTTAGGTGATGAGTTTATAGAAATTTAGGGTTGTATAATTTATGGAAATTTTAAAGAATAGAAATTAGGGTTTTAAATGTATGGAAGGATATTAGATTTTATTTGGTCATGAAATATTATTTAGTAGGTTTTGAGCTTGGAGTGCAAGTATAGAATAAGATCAAGAGATTTTAGATTTAAGAATAGAAATAAGGAATTTTAAAGGATTTTTATTTTTAATAAAATAAATTAAAAGCATTTAGAAAATTCATGAGTGGCCGAAAATATTGAGCTTAATATTTCTCAATATTTTCGGTCCTTCTATGTTAATTTAAGGATTTTGTAAAATAATTTATTTACCTAAAATTAATAATCCCATAAAATTTATTTGTGAAAATTAATAATTGAAGAATAAAAATCAGATTTTTATTAAATAATTAGGGTGGCCGAAAATATTGACATATAATAATTAATTTTTATTGTATAAAATCCGAAAATTAATATATTTCATGAAAATAATTAATTTAGAAAAATATTAAAACAATTTAGATTTTTATTCTATGAAAACCGAAAATACATTTTAATTAATCTACCGAATTAATATAATTTCGGTTTAGCTATTTAAATTTTGAGAAATCAAAAATACTATTTATAACATAAGTATAAAATAGTTTCATTTATTGGATTATCCAATTTAATTAGTTTTGTAAAATAATGATTTAGGCGCCAAAATTTAAATATCAATTTGGCTCCAAAACTAAAATACTCTTTAGAAAATAATTAATTTAGAAAAATACGTCAAAATACGAGACTAAAATACCTTTCAAAAATACGGGGTATAACAGCCATGTCCTTTTGGGGTGGCTGACGAGCCTTTCTGTCCTGCTCTAAATGTCAGCGCTGACGAGTCTATTTTCCTGGATGATCCTCTTCAGGGAGGTACCTTAGGATATAGGCTGACTCAGGTCATTCGGCTTTTCGCTGACCTTGGGAATGAGTATGTCAGCGTTCCTGCTGCCATTGCCTGCCATGACCTACAAAAGGTACTGTTTTATTTCGCTCTTAGTTGCCCTTTATTTTCTTCGGTTTATTTTTCAATTCATACTGAACTTGTTTTCTTCTTTGTTGGCTGCCCAGCTCAATCGCTTTGTCGGTGATTTGGCTAATGCTTTGCTCACTGTTGAGAAGGGGTATCAGTCTCAGAGTTCACGTTTAATGAGAAGGTGGCAGACTTGGAGCGGGCTCAGAACGAGAAAGCAGAGCTAGAGCGTGGATTGAAGGAGAAGGATGATGCGCTGCGTGCTGCTTAACTTCAACTAACCAAGTACCTCCCGGCTGCATAGATGCTGGCAGAACGTGATGACAAGCTGAAGAGGGCTCAAGCCCAAGTGCAAAGTTTGGAGGCGATTGTTGCTTGTTTGGAGGGAGACCGTACGTACTGCGGAGCTTAACGCAGCTCGCAGAAAAAAAACTTAGTGGAGTTTGCCTCCTCTCAGACTTTTGCAGACTTGCTCACAGATAGATATGATGGAGGTTGGGAGGCTGCTCTTAGGTGTGCAAATTATGTATTTGGTACAGAAGAGGGGCAGCAAGTGAAGTTTGAAAGTTTTGGAACAGGGTTGATCAGGCTGGAAACCAAGATGTTTATGCGTATCCTTCTGACCACCCTCGCATCGCTGCCTGTGGTATTCCAGACCACACTGTTCTTAACAAGGTTCCTGCCGAGTCTCCCGACCCTGCGGCTGCTATTGGGGTGGATGTTCTTCTTGTTAGGTTTTTAGTGAATTCAATAAGAAAAACACTTAAATTTGTGTGAGAACAAAACCTAAATTATATTTCAATCAATGTATTATTAAGAATTAAGAAATTACAGAAATTTCTAAAGACTACACTAGTGTGAAGAGATTAAACTTGCCTTTCCTCCAAGCCGACAACACCAAGTATGAACATGAGAATACCGATGACCATGTAAGTCTCAAACCTTGATACACTGTCAAAGGCGTGTATACACTTTCCTAAAGAGGTTTATTTCCCCCACACGGTGCTTGGGTTAAACCGGAAATCCTCTTTGAGATACAATTGACAGCCAATTTCGTTCTTAGCACTAGAAACGAAATACAATGAACAATTCACAAAGATGGCAAATTTCAAGAATTTTTCTCACAAAACTTTGCAAGAAGTTTGAGAGAAAATTAGGAGAATAATGTTGGAAGAAATATGTAATCTAAAAACTCTATATCCTTTCGATAACACAAAAGATATTAAAAGCCGAGAAAATAACCGCAAAAACCCGCAAACAAGGGAAGCAGCGCGGCCGCGACTCAAAGAGGCGCGGCAGGGCCACCAGGCCGCGCGGGCACGCCTACCCAATTCTGCCAAAATTTTGCATCTTTCTAGAGATTTGGCGCGATTTTGACGCGCTTTTAACGCGGACTGCGTCAACCTTGCGCGAGCGCGTTGAACAATGGCGCGGGCGCTCCACTCTGACACTCTAAATTATCCGAAATAAATCAAATGATCATAATTCTCTCATACACTCTAAATCATCTAACACTTCCTGCTAACCAATAAAGGCTTTGGCGGCCACGTTCTTCTTCCTCTAGCGGCTCGTCTGAGTACCCCTCTCCCCGCCCCATAGTGAGTTAGTGCTTATTAGCTTTTGCTTTCTTCTGCCATTGGGGTGTTTGGCCGCCAATGGTTGTGTTGTTTTTGAGGTCTTTGATTGTCTTGGATTACTGCCAAAACTGCTTGCTCTTCTCCTGTTTGTTAGAACAATATCTTAGTGTTTTTCAAACTTGCACTTTTGGTTTTTACCTAGTGCCGGGGGTTTTCTGGCAAATACTTTGTAGTTTATTTTGTTGTACATATTCTGGTTTTCAGCTTCTTCTTTTCTTTTGGTTGTGCGTTCTTTATTACACATTTTTGTTTGATGTGCTCTCGGTTCAGTTGTCAGGGGAAGAGGGTACTCCTATTTTTGCCATTTTGGAGCTTTCCCTTTTCCTGGCTGACACTGCTGCCCCTTTGGCCGAGTTCCTGGTTACCCTTGCCTAATAGTGTTCTTGGCTCTGGTTTACTAAAGCAAATTTTACTTTAAGCGTCCCTGTCGTAACAATTTCCTTCTAGGGCTGAAAACACTTTGAGCGTGGGATTGTGCGTGGCCCCTTTCTTTTGCTTTTTCATGACCGCCCTCTGCCTTTAGGGCAGGGTTCTGGGATTTTGTGCCGCTACTTTATTATAGTGCGGTTTTGATTGTTATGCCGCTGTTTCTGTGAGCAGGGTTTCTACCTCTGCTTTGTTATAGCGAGGCTTTAGTGAGATAAAAGCATTATGCTTCAATTTTCATAGCTCATGTTGGGCTTTGCTTTGTTGCAGCATTCCTTGCTTCTCCCTGCTTGCATTGGCAGAAAAGTGTGATATCTTGCAAATAGACAAGTAAGCAATTTAATAAAATGTTACGTCCAAGGAAAGGCCTCACGCAGAGGTTAGATATTCCATTGAAAAATGTGAAACGCCTCACACAAAGGTTAATGTTCCACTTCCTTAAAGTTACAACTTAGCCAAAATAATGGTTCAGGCTTTTCTTTACTTAGAATTATATAGGCAACTGAAATAAAAACATTGAACTACATGAAAAACCTCTTTAAAACGTCAGCATTAAAGCTGTTTCTTAGGATGCAGCCATCTTGATCAGAGAGCAAGTAGGCCCCTGGCCCTACCTGTTTGTGTATTATGAAGGGTCCTTTCCAGTTTGCACTCAGCTTCTCATGCATCTTTCCTCTGCCAACAACGGCAGTTCTTCTCATAACTAAATCCCCTTCACTGAGCTCTCTATGCTTTACCTTTCTATTGTAGACCTTAGCCATTCTGCTCTTCTGAGCAGCTAACTTTAGGGCAGCTTTCAGCCTAACCTCTAGCAGGAGATCCAACTCTTCTCTCAGTCTATCTTCGTTTTTCAGGCTATCATAATGTTGTACCCTTAGACGTGGGAGTTACACTTTAATGGGAACTACTGCCTCAGCTCCGTACGCCAGAGAAAAAGGACTCTTCCCTGTTGCTTCTTTCTCTGTGGTTCTGTTGGCCTATAACACCTATGGGACTAAATCAGCCCATAAACCCTTGTGCTCCTCCAATTTCTTTAGCAGGGCGAACAATATTTGCTTATTGGCTGCCTCTGCCTGCCCGTTACTCTGCGGGTGACAGACAGAAGCGCTAGCATACTTCGTTCCCATCTCTTCGGGGTAATCTCTGATGGTGTCACAATCAAACTGGCAGCCATGATCGAACACTATACATTGTGGGATTCCGAATCTAGTGATGAGAGTTTTCCATATGAACGTTCTGACTTGCGAGGCTTTAGTGTACTAGGCTCTACCTCTATCCATTTTGTGAAATAGTCCACAGCAACGATCAAAAACTTCCTGCCCCCTGAGCTAGTAGTGAATGGCCCTAAGATGTCCATTCCCCACTGGGGAAAAGACATAGGGTTGAGAATTGGAGTGAGATTGTTAGCAGGCTGATTTATCACTGGGGAGTACTTCT